GGGAAACACCATACACAGGGGACAGGGGAAACACCATACACAGGGGACAGGGGAAACACCATGCACAGGGGACAGGGGAAACACCATACACAGGGGACAGGGGAAACACCATACACATGGGACAGGGGAAACACCACGTACAGGGGACAGGGGAAACACCATACACAGGGGACAGGGGAAACACTATGCACAGGGGACACAAAAAATATCACACACACAGGACACGGGAATCAGCTTTTATACGGGATACTGGAATCCATGGATATCTATGTGAGACACAGGAAATGGGAAAAACCATCCACTGAGAAACACCATCAATTTGGGACACTGGTGCATGGTAGGACTGTTTTATTCCAGGCGAAGTATAACTAAATGTTTGGCAGAGACCAAACTATGAATCCAACCTCCATATGATGGTAAGAGCAGCCTGCATGATACAAGGGCCATGATTATCTTGTTAACAAGCTTTTCGCTTTAATTTTCATTTATCCTGCTCATTTGACGACTGTTCGGTAATGTCACTCTCCAATCGCACAGGCGGGAGTCAGCTTAACACATGCCTCTGGGTGGGGAGAACGTTTAAAAATGAAAACAGATTAAATCAGGCTGAACACAGGGCATCAGGTGGCATGATGGAAGTGACATGTGTCACCGAGATGCCCTTTCAGTGGCTGTGTGGATGTTAGTGTGGTCTATGCAGCTAAAGCAGCTAATGCAGTGAATGCAGTGTGCACAGATAATGCAGGGGAAGCAGTGTACACAGTTAATGCAGTACCCATATAACGAGAAGAACCACGCCAACTTTGAAAGGATTAAAAAAAGAAAAACAAATCATGGCGGCATATGATCGCCATCTAATGGACAAAAAACAGACAGCACAAGGGTTCATGAGGATTTGTAACATGCTGTGGCAAAATCAGGACGTATATTTCATTACAATGTGAATCGTTTTTTAAATAGCACTGAATGGAAAAACAGCAACAGATATAGGCCAAATATTTACATCTTATATATATACATACATACATACATACATACATACACACACACACACACACACATAGTATATATACAGTATTATATATACAGTGGTACCTCAGAACTCGAACTTAATTCGTTCAGAACTCGGGTTCGAATCCTAAAAGTTTGAGTTCTGATCAAATTTCCTCATAGGAAATTAATTGGTTCCCTGTTAATTAATTGGTTCCCTGTTCCAAATAAATTACACCTAAATATGGTTTTTATTTAGCAGTTAAACACAAAATGAACAGGATAAAACAAGAAGAGCATATACTTAACATATCTAAGCACATTTATCAAAATAGTAATTTGTAAAGTAAGAAAAAAACGCCGTGCGTGACATTTTTTTCAGAATTTTTTCTTTCCAAAAGATATTTTTAATAAAAAAGCACTATCACCAACAAACGATGCTATCACAGCAAATGCGTGGCTGAAACTGAAGCGTTAACCTTTCTTTCCGCTGAGAGACGTGCCGCGTGACTCATTTCCCCGTGCATACAATAGGGTGGGGTGAAAAAATTCAAAATTTCCAATAGTGCGGAAAAATTGTCACTGGACCTCGTTATTAAACATGCAAAATATTTTTGAAATAGGGTAATATTTTCAGGTTCTGCAATGCGATCAAAGTTTTCACCTGTCACATCAATGGGTAATATACACTATCCATTGTCTATACTCATCGGTGTTGAGTTTGTGCACTTTCACAACATAATAATCACTACAAAATACCAACATTCAAGTAACGCAGATTTTTACTGAGAATCAGCCATACACATACATTACATTGCTCTGTGGCTCTACGTGCATTACAATTAATCACCTGTCACATCAATGCGCAGATCCACTCTACGTATCATCCATATCATAACGCAATGTAAAATTGTTCCTCAGTGCCACAAAATTAAAAGTATTAAGCATGACAGTCAAAATGGTTAGATACACTATATTACCAAAAATATTGGGACACCTGAATTCAATGATTTGACCCAGATGGATAAAGCGGTATAAATGATAGACAGTGTATATTGCCAGTATGTCAGTGTAAGCATGCTCCTGTGGTATAGATAATGGATAGTGTATATTGCCCATTGATGTGACAGGTGAAAACTTCGATCGCATTGCGGAACCTGAAAATATTAACCTATTTCAAAGACATTTTGCACGTTTAATAACGAGGTCCAGTGACAACTTTTCCACACTATTGGAAATTGCTATTGGAAATTTAGATTTTTTCACCCCACCCTAGCGTACAAGTTATCTTAGGTCCGCGTTCACGGTTCGACTTCTGAGATTCAGATCGAGTTCTAGGTAATTTTTTTTCAAACTGTTTGGTTCGACTTTTAAGAAGTTCTAATGAGTTGTAGTACTGAGGTACCACTGTATGTATACTGTATGTATGTGTGCGTGCATGTATATGTTTGTGTGTATATATATATATATATAAATATATATATACACACACACACACACACAGGAAATGCTTGACAGGGAGGTCTGAAGCTGTTTTAAATTATCTCATTCCTTCACACCCTCACCCACTGATACAGTGAATCTCCCCCTCTCTCTGGGCTGTGCCACAGTGCCCCCTGCTGGTTAGGTACTTAGTGATACAGTGAATCCCCCACTCTCCTCAGTGGTGCCGCAGCGCCCCCTGCTGGTCAAGTACCCACTAAAACAGGGAATCCCCCATCCCCCTCGGCTGTGTCCCAGCGCCCCCTGCTGTTCAGGTACTCACTTTTGGGGGAGCTTCATCAGTTCCGCCACTGTCCCAGGACGCAGGAGCCTGTCGCCTCATCTCGGTGCGGATGCGCTCCTCCTGCTGAAGCTTCTCCTCGTCCAGGATCGTACTGTAATGAGGGATGGGGGGGGGGGAATCAAAAACTGTGCCGAATAAATCTCTCTTCACAAGCCAAGCCAGAGCGGAAACATTCCCAGGAAAAAGATGACTTCAAAACTCTGGATGGACGGCCCACTCAGAGTCCGTAGCGTGAGAAAGCGTGACAGAGACAGGGGGGGGAAGTCAAAATAAAAGAAAATTGAGCGAAATAAAAACAGACAAACCGGGGAACGGCAGGGTTAACGGCAAGGCAACGGCCCTCTGTACCTCCTCAGCTCTGTCTATAACGTGCTGAGATTGGGGGGGGGGCAGCTCTCCAGAGAAGATTCCAGGCCATGCGAGACAGATGGCGAGATCAGTTTCACACAAGTAGGGCACAACTCTAAAATTACTTTCTCTTGTCAGCGTTACCGGCATCTTCAGCTGTATGGCCTGGCCCATAAGGGCGGGGGGGCTGGGGGGTTAAATAAATCTCGCCGAGTTGGACAAATGCTCGGGAGACAGGAACGTGTTCTGCTGCTCATATTAATACATCTCTATAGGAAAAGTCCCAGAATTACCCTCTGTCCTCCCCAGCCTACTACAGACAGAGCACCATTTACAAATCCTGCCCCCCCAGGCCTACAGCATGCTCTGGACTTCAGTCCCACAATGACCCGGCATGTGAGGTGTAGCGTGTGAACAGGCAGGGGGGGCTCAAATCACGTCCCCCCACAGGGGTATTTCTGGATGAGGCGGTTCTTCTGTTGGATCCGGTGTTGCTGTGCGTGGGAGGGCCAGCATGAGGGGAGGGGGCACGGTGACCCCATTCCCCAGTGCAAACACAATGTCCTGCAAAACCAGTCACTGCCCCCCTCGGACACTGGACAGCATCACTATCCGAATGGCTCAAGAGCTTAAAGGAATGATACATGTCTCAAAGAAAAGCACAAACTCCGACCGGAGACTGGAGTGGAAGTTTTTTCCTGTTTTTATACAGACGCTGGGGAACAACTTAACACAAAACACACCAAACTTTAAAATTCCACACTGCCCAGGAAATTCCCTGGAAAATACCCCGGAGTGCATCCAGGCTCCCATAAAATTCCTGCTTTTTTTTGCATATGAAACCAGCATCACACCTTCAGCTCTGAGGCACCAATCTGACTGTAATCCTCTTAATTTTCTCAGTGTCAAACCAGCCACACTGCAGAAGCATAACAAATGAAGTTTGAATCCGTATTTGCTGCATTTATAGGCAGGTGTGGAATTGCGGTCCTGTTACCTGAGCAGTTCTCTGGTGGCCGTGTTACGGACATTCTCCATCAGCCTGTGAGGCAGAGTGCCACCAAAGGTCCGGTGCCGCTGGGAGCGCAGATCCCACAGAAATATCCGCAAAAGTAGCGCAGCACTTCCCAGCAAGCAGTGAAAGAGCCTTTATCGGAGGGAGCGCGGTGCGGCTAGCGGGGGGGGGGCGGCTCTCTCCCAGGCTCCCCGCCCCTCTTCCAGCCCCCCCCCCCGTTACACTTGGCAGCTGTTCTGGAGCATAGAAGCTGAGGAGCTCTGCTTTTTTTTTTTTTCTCTAAAAAAAATGAGGGACGGCCAGCTTGGCGGCGCCGACCCATAGAGGGGGGGGGGTCGTTTCAGGGCATGTGCTAACAGCCCACGGCGGGGGCACATTACCCACAATGCTTAGCTCACGCACCACCATGCCTGCCTGGTACTCACAGCTTCTGGACACTTACACCGGTATGACACGTATTGCATTTCAGGGATGGGACACAAAAACCAACCCCCCCCCCCCCCACCAGACGGAACTGAGCAGAGGCTCAGATGGGATGCGGAGAGCTTTCCGGGGACCCGGTGAGAGGAAATGGGCAGTATGACGTGGAAAGTGAGTGATGTGTGGGGTGATGTACCCTAGAGATGTGCCCTACTGCGTCACACTGGCACAGTGTACTATAAGGCATGTACACATCTCTAGGGACAGGGCTGCCTGGAGACCCCACTGTCAAGGTAACTCATGGAGAGTGAGAGCTCAGCAGGACCGATCCGCTCCAGCCGGAGAAGCTGCTGTCTAATTCACTAATTAATCACTCGATTCTGGCGCCCCCCTCTGGCAACCAGAGCCAATGGGGGTGGAGGCGTACATAGCTTTTCCCAATCAGTGGGACGTTTAAGGAGTGCAAAACCGGGGAAAGATGGGGGGTGGGGGGGTGCTTTAGATGGCTAAATATAGTCTCTAAGCGAAAGCTCCGTTCTCGTACGGCAAAAAAATACCTGCTAAAAATATTACATATTCGGCATGACATAAGCTTGCTTCTTATCACATCGAGTGAGCTTCACCAATACCCATTAACACCTTAATTCCGCTTCCTGTTCCTCCGAGTTCCTCCCAGCCTGTCCGTTGCATCCGTTCCCACGGAGACAAACCACACGTCTCTTATCTGAAACTGGCTGCATTTCGGCTGCCTTAAGCACCGTGGAAAAGACGAGAGGAATTTATAGAGCCGCTCTGAGGGAAGCCTCAGGCCCTTACACAGTAACTCCCCCCCACTACAACAATTCAGATCCTGCGAGGCCCCAGTCAGCTGGGCAATGGTGCACCCATTGTCGCCCCCCCCCCCCAGATTGAGCATTTGAGCATTGATCTGCAGATGCCTGTCGGTAGGGCTGGACTGCAGCGATGTGATTGCGGACAAAGTTGGCATACGCTACATCTGAACGGCCACACGGTGCCTTTATGAGGCTCCCAGGATCTAAGTTACAATCACTGATTATTCTCAGTCCTCCGAGAAACTAGGTCACCTCTTTACAGCAGATACAGTAAGATCCCCGGCCGAGCGGGCCAAGCTCACCCCAGGGCCCCGTCCCATCAAAATGCCCCAACGGTACTACTGAGTAACAAGGTCTGTGGAGCAACTACACAGGGAGATACCAGGCAGGAAGCAGAAGGCTGGGATCTGAGAGATCATCGTGAGAAAGAAACAACAGACACATATACACAGACAAACAGACAGATACACATGTACAGACAGATAGAAAGACAGAGAAAGACAGACACATACACATATACAGAGACAGACAGACAGACAGACAGAGATAGACAGACATGCACATACAGACACAGACGAAGACAGATAGACAGACATACAGACAGAGAGACACACACAGACAGAGAGACAGAGAGACAGACAGAGATAAACAGACATGCACATACAGACAGAGAGACACACACAGACAGAGAGACAGACAGATAAACAGACATGCACATACAGGCAGAGACACACACACAGACAGAGAGACAGACAGACAGACAGAGATAGACAGACATGCACATACAGACACAGACGAAGACAGATAGACAGACATACAGACAGAGAGACACACACAGACAGAGAGACAGAGAGACAGACAGAGATAAACAGACATGCACATACAGACAGAGAGACACACACAGACAGAGAGACAGACAGATAAACAGACATGCACATACAGGCAGAGACACACACACAGACAGATAGACAGACATACACATATACAGAGACAGACAGACAGACAGACAGAGATAGACAGACATGCACATACAGACACAGACAGAGAGACACACAGATAGAGTCAGCCAGGCAGGCACAGGCACACACACACACACACACACACACACACAGGAAATGCACCCAAACAGTCATGAGAAACAGACTCGGTTTTTAAGCCGACCTCTGAAATTCCGTCTTACCGTGATAAAAAGGCCTGCCTTCCCCCAGGGATCCATTCCTAATACCTTATATGGCTCGGATTTTGTATAAATAGTATTAGGAGCCTAAATATTTACATGGTTTCCAAGAACACAGTGGCAGGGCCTATAAAAAGCCAAACATGTGTGACATAGTGGGAAAAGCAGCAGATGGGGGTGTGACCCACGGGGACCAAAAAACACTGTAATAAACACACTATGAGGGGACGACCATCGTCACCAAAGCGGCTAGAGATGTGAGGCTGAGCCAAAGGCCCCTAGGTCCACCACCGGGACACTGGAAACACTCGCCAGAGATAACTGATGGTCTGTTTACTTCAGGCGGTGAGTTAGGGGGAGACATTGCAAGAACGCAGCAGGAATGCATAAGGAATACAGTACATGCAGGCCTCGAACACGCAGCCGCTTTAATGAACGCTTGAGCTCCAGGCAGCTTTCAACATCTCTGTTATTCACAGCAGGTGAGGTACAGGCCCTGCTGTCAGTATATCACACAGCCGCCCCACGCGCAACAAACCACAATGAGCCGAGCTTCTCCATTGGCTAGATCTATGACAGGACTGCTGAGGGGTGGAGAGAAGAATGCAACACCCCCGAGTCAGAAGACCAAATAGAAGCCACACCCATCATGAAAATGCGATGCAATCTGTTCTGTCCCGGGACCTGGAGAACACTGATGAAGAACCTGGAAGGTGTGCGGCACCTTAAATAATTACCACACCTTTAACTACAAACACTTAAGAAGCATTATTAAAAAACCTATTTCCTGTACAGTATGTGGCTCTGCGGCCTAAGCCTATGTGCCTGTGATGGGAAGGTTGCCGGTTCGAGCCCCCCGGCCTCAGCAGAAAAGTCACGTCTGTGGGCCCTTAAGCGAGGCCATTAACCCCCGGCTCCATCTTGGCTGCCCTTTGCTGCCAAGCTCACTCTCAAATACATGTGTCTCATGGAGCTGGGGTAGACGAAAATAGAATTTCTCCACAGGTATCGTTTCATTTAACTTCAAAGGAGGAAAACCAAAGTTAGACGTCACTTCAGTATAAAGGCATCAGTGGCAGGAAGGTGTCCGGACCGAGAGAGGCACCGTGAGGAACCCCGGCTCGCCCACGCTCACCTGAGCTGCCCTTTGAGCTCAGTAAAGCGGGGCCTCTTGCTTGGGTCGTAGGCCCAGCACTTGGTCATGAGGCTGTACAGGGTGGGGGGGCAGTTGGGAGGCATGGCCAGCCGCTCGCCGTTCTCTATCCTGCCGATGACGTCGTTGTTCTTCACCCCCTGGAATGGCTTGACCCCATGCATAAGGATCTCCCACATGCACACGCCTACAACACAAGCAGGTGCGATTAAGGCACAGCAGTCCATCCGCGTCCTGCTGCTCAAAGACCTACAATGCTGTGAAAAAGTTTCAGGCAGAAATATTTAAATGACTTTCATGTCGGTGTATAACTACAGTATGACATTATGTCTGTCAAAGCGTGTCAGCTTAGCCATTTCAAAACCTCTCCTAAAATCACCCCAGCGTTTGCAGTAAGCTTCCAAAGTACCCATATATTTCTTTTTACTTAATCATTACCCCAACTCGTATGGCTTTTGAATACCTCACTGAGCTTTTTAAACTAATTAAGTTAATTAATTAATTGAGCTGAAAAATTTAACAAATACATGGAGCGGCTGAGGTGCCCCTGAGGAGAGGTTTGGTAACGAACGGTGTTCACCTAGCCATCAGATATCAGCAACTTTTTGTAAAACAGAAGAAATTCTTGTTTAGATTTTATTGTGCTACTGTTGATTTGCATGCATTCTAATTTTTACAATCTTTTTTCTGAGCAAATAAACGCTTCTTACGCAGATAAACAGCCTTGAACATTTTCTTTGACTGCCTGAAAGATTTTTGCGCAGTACAGTACACAAAGTAATCTGTCAATTTCCTGCTTCTTGAAGGCCTGCACAGAGTAATCAGTCCATTTCCCAAAGGGCTCTTCCACCGTGAGCCACAGTGATACCCCTAAGTGGTGATTAACTTCTTAGTTAAAAGAGCTAAATCTAATTTTAGATACATTAATTATGGGTATAAACTGTCAAAGCTCACCAAACATCCACACGTCGCTAGCAGAGGTGAAGCGTCTGAAGTTAATGGATTCAGGAGCCATCCATTTAATAGGCAGCTTCCCTTTGGAAGCTGGTAAGAGAAAAAGACAATTGTTGTAGAAGTTATTTTAAAAAACAACAAGCAACCCTGCATGTCAGAAATCACACATCCACTGTAATTCAAAATCCAAATGTGCCTCTCACAGCTCCCACTTTAACTTTAGGGACCAAACCCACACTGTGGTTTCTCATGGCGACGCATCGCCATAGAAACCGCAACATCCCAACATCACCAAGCACCTTTGTAATAGGAGCAGTCCTCCATGTATCGAGAGAGGCCGAAGTCTCCCAGCTTGACGCAGTCTGTGGAAAACACCAGGGCGTTCCTGGCAGCGATGTCTCTGAGAAAAGATGATGCATTCAAGCCACAGACAAGCACAAAACAAGAACATCCATCCATCCATCCATCCATCCATCTTCTAGCACCACCATCAAATACAGGATCACAGTAGGCCTGAAGTCTTTCCCAGCAAGTACAGGGGATGAGGCAGAGAGTGTCCTGGATGAGGGTCACACCCCCATACGACAGACAATTCATAGTCGCAAATTCACCTAATTAAATGTCTTGGGCTTCAGCTTTCAGGAAACTGGAGTACAAACATCCACAGAGAGGTGGGGTTGACAATCAAACCCTCCATTCTGGAAGTGTGACTCCAGTAGGGTGACCAGATAATCCATGTCAGGGAGGACACACTGAGCTAGGACGGGAATTGTAAATTACCATTTCAATTAGAAGGACCTGGATTTCACTTGAGCACTGAGTTCTTGCTGTGTGCTGATTGGTCAGTCTCCTATAATCATGCATGTGTCACTAATGCTAATGTGAAACAGCTGGATGAGTCTCACTCAAGGAAACAAACCAATCAAAGCGCAAGAAGAGCTGAACTATTTAGCCAAGCACAGGAGCCTTTCAGTTTGAAAGTAGTTTGTAAAACGCGAAGTAGTTCAAAGTGTTCTCCCTGACATGGATTATCTGGTCACCCTAGACTACAGAACCCAAATGAGTATAGCACCGAAACAAAGGCACAGCACCACCTACCTGTGCACAAATCGCTTGCTTTCCAGATAAGCGAGAGCTGTGCTCAGCTGGTAGGCGAAGAGGATGAGGGAGGCCAAACCAAGCGTGTACTTCCTGACTTGTAAGAAGGAGCGCAGCTGAAGTCAGAAATATCAGAAAATGAGCCGATCATTAACGGTGAGGGCTTAAGGCTACAGCAAACAGGATGCGAACGGCTAACAGGAGGGCTTAAGGCTACAACAAACAGGACTCTAATGGCTAACAGGAGGGCTTAAGGCTACAGCAATGTGTCAAACACCAGAACGTGTCAGACGGACAGAAGCATCTCAATAATTCATGTACTGTAAGTAAATGTCAGCGCAGGGAGATCCTGGCTGCGCCCTCAAGCCGACGGGGACCGCACACGTGGCACACGCACCTCTCCCAGGGTGCACAGCTCCATGACGATCCAGCCTGGACTCTCGGTGATGATGCCGATCAGCTTCACTATGTGTGGGTGATCAAACTGCCTCATGGTCACTGCGGGAGCAAAGTTACCAAATCAGCCTCCCCTACACACCAGCACGACAAGTAACTCGATACCAGCATTTACTTAGACATCAAACGAACAGCACAAAATCATTACTCATCTTTAGAACTTTAGAGGTAAAAAATAAATATCACTAAAAAATGGCTGTATAAGTTAAGCTTGTTCAAACTGTCACAGTAGATCCTTGCACGAGTGGCTGGCATGTTGGTGCTACACGCCATGTTCCTGTCACCTGCCAGGGCTCCTGATCACCAGCGACAAGGCAGGCATGGCACAGGGGGCAGCCAGGGGTCCTCGAGCTGGGAGGGGGCCCCCCAGGGCGGCGATTACATTGCACATTGCAACGACAAATCTGCTTTATTTGTGTATTCCGTTTTTCACAAAAGTGAAAATAAAGGACTTGTGTTTATAAAATTTGCTCTTGATACAATTAATTTAGACCTTGCGCTAAAATAATGAATAATTTTACCATGTCAGGGGAGGATCCATGAGTTGAAGAGCCCTATAGAGTTTTTTTGCCGGGGCCCCCAGAGTCCCTAGAATAGTCCCTGCTGTTTGAGGTGTCCTGCAATACTCTCCTGCCATTACTCGCCTCGACCAGGACGCCCCAGAGTCATGAGATACAGGGGATTTTACATCAGTCTGCAGCTAAAACCAGCCAGAGCCACACACCTGTGTATCAGTCAAACACTGTTGAGAGTGAACAGTAACACTTACAGGCTTCTTGGAGGAATTTCTCTCTGACGCTATCCGAAGTGCAGTTTTTACACGTCTTAACCGCTACGGACAGGCAAGAGTGGCCCTGTGGAGAGAAGGAACAGGAGGTAAACAGAGAGGTAGATCAGCAGCAGAAACGTCCGCTAATCCAGAATTAAGAAGAATAAAACCTAAAAAAATGTGAGTCAGCTCAGAATATTGTCCTGATGGGTTAAATCTAGAAAGTCTGATTCACCACCCAATTTGAGTCCCTGATACAGTTCACCGAGTGTACCGTATATAAACGTGAACCTATACAGGCAGCCTTCCACACCCACTGATCCAACCAACCACAAACTGAAAATATTCCGAAAATATTCAATAAATTCATAAAGAAAAAACTTGGATTTAAGACACACTTGAGCACTATGTTGCGAGTGCAATTTGGGTTGGCTGTCAATCAGTCACATTGGGGGGGGGGGGGGGGGGCAGCTGAAAAGTAACAAGGCTTCATTCATTTTTCCCCACTCCTTCTGTTTTGATTTGCCGTACTGGTGAGGCTGAATGCCAGCGATACTTTCCTTCCTCGTTTACTCACACCGCGTTATTGTGCTGATAACATGGGACGCTGCTTAAACTTCGGGATGTAAAACTGGGTGTTCAGAGTGGAGGCAGGAAAACTGATCTTATTTTACATTATAAAGTCATTTATTTGGCTGCTGGCTTTCCCTTGTTATTTGTAATAGATGTTATAAGTAGTCCAGGGATGATTTAAAGCATACAGTACTGTATGCACAGGTTATATATAAATACTTTGCCTCTGGCTCTGCAAACATACCGGGCTCGTGAAGACGCCCTGGTGAACGTCCCCAAACTGTCCCTCTCCGATGCAGCGCCCCAGCTGGACCCACTCCCGCTGGATCTCGTAGTCTCTGGCTATGAATGTGAGGGCACACTTGTTAGGGCACACTTGTGAGGGCACACTTGTTAGGGCACACTTGTTAGGGCACACTTGTTATGGTAGATCACATGTCTGTGCGCACAATGGTGAGTGTCACACACCAAGATCACTGCGTAAGATGAGTTACAGGACATGGGACACCGACAGAGTGCTTACATGATGTACGGAGTGTGGACAGCGGCCCTCGTGAGCTAAGAATCACCCAATACATCATGTCAGTGTGATTTCACAATCATGTGGGTTTCAGTGAAACAAGCTTCCTGGCTAAACTAGAGAAACTGACAGTCATATTTGTCATATGACTGTCACCACCTTGATGTCAAACTCAGAGGTCACATAAAAGCCATCCATCCATCCATCCATCCATCTAGTTTTATAATTGCATATCTAGGAAAGTGTCACAGAGTACCTGGAGCCTATCCCAGGAAGCAGAGGGCGTCACAGGGCACACACTGTCACAAGCCAGGGACAACTGTTAGGGCGCTTTTCCACCACACAAAGTACGGTACTTTTGGTACTTTCACTTTTACATTGACTTCCGGTCAAGTACCAGTACCGAAAGTTCCAGTACCGAAAGTGCCAAACCAGCTGGGGTACTTCTTTGGTACTTCGGTACTTTGTGGTGGGACTTTCAAACGTATTTGCTGTCGATTGGTTATGCAAATAGCCTGCCGCTGAAACACAAAATACACTCAGCGAACAGCGAGAAACTAAATAAAAAGCAGTAGAAACAAAAATATAAGAAAAGTAAAACGGAAGGATGGACAAACGAGGAAACACAGGCTTTAATCGCCATATGGTCGGATGAACAGATCCAGCGGGATTTGGATGACACGGTTCGGAATAAAAAAGTATTTGCCGTAATACCAAGCCGCTTGGAAGAAATGGGGCACACGTGAAACACCGAACAATGGCGCTTGAAAATCAAAAAACTTAAGCAGGACTACAGGAAAGTGAAGGATCATAATAACATGTTTGAATTCAGCGAAATAAATACCGCGTCGCGCTTTGTGATGATGTCAGTCAGGGGCGGTCACTGATGATGTCATTTTGCGCCGGTACCAGTTTTTACGCCAGTGGAAAACCGACACAAAAGAAGTACCATACTTTTGGTACTTTATGGAAGTACCAAAAGTACTGAAAGTACGGTACCTGGTGCAGTGGAAAAGCGCCCTTAGTCTGAACACAACCCTGGTGGCAGCGGTACATGCTGACCCAGTCCGGGGATGGGGGGGGTTGGCCATAGTGCACTGAACCAGCATGCTCCCCATACATAGAAGGACGGATGCATGTTATAACATTCACATAATATTTAAGGGTAACACGTCACAGCAAAGGACAGGCAGAAGCAGGGCGTGGGAGAGATGCTTTACCTTTATAAAGCCCACAGCTTTCTGCAGCAGTGAACGCAGAGGGGGAGAGAAACAGCCTGATTCAGTACAGAGGAGGGTGGAAGCCGGCGATGGTGGAGGACAGCCCTGGGCACCTGCGGCCCTGTGCCCCCCCCCCCCCCGTGTCCCTGTGCCCCCACGCACCTGTGACGGGGGCACACCAAGAAGCTGGGGGCTAGGTGGGTGGAGACACACTGAGAAGCTGGGGACCGTGATCTCGGGGCCATATGAGGGCGGGGGCACACTGAGAAGCTGGGGACCGCGATCTCAGGGCCATATGAGGGCGGGGGCACACTGAGAAGCCGGGGGCTGCGATCTCGGGGCCATATGAGGGCGGGGGCACACTGAGAAGCGGGGGGCTGCGAGGGCATTGCATACTTACTGGAGGGCATGGCGTGAACATCCTCGTCATCTACGATTTCTGCGTAGTCGTCTGTCTCTGCAAAGAAAAGGACAAAAAGCTGCAGGTGAGCAGGTACGCGTGGGAAAATGTGGGGGGGGGCAGCCTTTGGGGGTGGGTGGGGGGAGTTTGAATAGGGCGACCCAGTCACCCACACTCATGCAAACAGCACAACTGTCAGCATCTCTCAAAAGACACAAAAATGCCAGCAGGTTTGTGGGCTGTAAAGTTACCTGGGTGTAAAAACGCACAGAAACCGCCGCGGCCTGCTTGCTATCTGCAGCGCAGATACATTTAGAATGATCATATGCTGGGAAGTTATTATCAATAAGTCATGCCACTGGGTGAGTCACATGACCGCACTGCTGGGACGAATGGGAACTTGTGAAACCGCCAGAGTTTCCAGTGGGTTACGGAAAAGGAGTGATGGAAAGCAGAGGCGCATAGGGCCTCTCATACCATCCCCGCTGACTTCATCTGCAGGTCCACGCGGCATGAAGAAAGACAGGGAGACAAAGAATGAACTGAGAAAGGTCAGGGGTCAGGGGTCAGGAGGTGGGCACAACCATCAAGCACTGTCCCCTACTCCAAGGGGGTGTTTCACGAATCAGGATTTCTCAAGTTAATTAGGTTAACTTAAGCTAGAATTCGTGATCGTCCAGTAAGAGTTTAGGTAAGGAGCATTCCTATTCCTGCTTAGTAAAACACCCCCCAGGTCCCAAATTCATCCAAACATGCCGAGATATTCCGCGTAACGGCTAGTGCATCTCTTCCCTGTGTCCTGCTCATGAGGCATCATCATGATCGTATTTCGGTTTTAAATAAAGTGACCTTTTCAGAGGGGGGTGCCCTCAAATCCATAGGCAGATGTGAGCACAGAACGATTTCGCACCATAGTGACATCAGTGGCCCCTCGGAGCACTACACCACTCTGCGGCACCACTAACGCCATGACGCTGACCTAGCTCAGCCCAGCAGACGTACTCTAATTATACACCGGGATATTTTTACATCTGTATCACTCTTTAAAAATGTAAATGCTTAACAAAAGGCGAAGCAGGACCGGCAAGCTGAGCCATTTTAAATATGGCAGCGAATCGTGTGATGGCTTCATTCCCTCCAGAAACGAACCAGGTACAACAGTTAAAGAGAGTCAGAGCTCAATAAGGAGGCTTCCAGTAATGTCTGGAAACCACAAACATCACTGTAACAGGTTTTAAACTGATTTAATTACAGTATGCTTGCAGAAATTAAAAACTCATTTATCAGTAAAAATAAATACTAATAGATCAAAGTCACTTGGCGGAAGACTTCACATCTCTTACATCACCCTTGTTCCACCATGGCTGCGTCCTTGCAGTCCTGATGTGGGCTCATCATCCAGCCAGCAAATTTAACCCGTTTCCTCAAGTCTCATCACTAAGGATGGACAAAATTATGCTTCTTGAACCATTTGTTGCATTTTTTGACCCCACTAAATAGTGCTCTCTGTCCAAAAAAGGACACAAAGCATGACCCAAAGCAAACCAAGAGCGCCATCTAGTGGGGTCAAAAAATACAGCAAATGGTTCATGAATCTTCATTTGGTCCATCACCACCTGTCCACATCTTTCTCCCAAAGAGAAGTTTTCATAAAAGAATAACAAAAGCATCTGATTTGCAGGTTAAATCAGAGTCCTGATCAGGCACCAGAAGAGGCACTGCAATGCAGCAGCTGACGCGCCAATCAAGAGAGGAGACAGTTAAACAGCATTAAAGGCAGCTTCTACGGCTTGTCACTGTAAATGAATCATACAGCCCAGACCCCATCAACATCCGACAGCAGAACCTCCAACTACACAGCTGCAGGTTACGGCCAATTCCAACAGGCTCCGCCCCCTTTTCATCAGTATTTTTAAACTATTTTTAGCACCACATGTAGCAATATGGCCATTAAGTCGTAAAAAGCCACGGAAAGAGGAAGCGTTCCACCTTCCACACGACTCTCAGAGCAGAGCAGAGCAGGGCAGAATATTTCACAATCACCAAAACAAACATGAAAAGGGCATCGCAATGACGGGGCCTTTGGCTGTGACACGCGTTTCGACACAGAAAGCTCAGCCGGCTGGGTCACGCTCATCACAACACGGCCCCGCGCTCAGCGGCTCCTACGACGACTTTAAGGTCCTCCGAGCGCCGCACCTAAAGTCACACGAAGAAAACTCATTCTGCACATTCAAAGGTGACAAGGCAGTTTGTAACAGGAAAAAGAATGAGGCGAGTTATGCAAAACAAAGGATAACAAGTCCATTTGTACCACATGACAAAAACAACGTTTTAAATGGGAACATTTCTCTAAATGTTTCCTTTAAATTCAAGATCAAAGGTTCAGGTGCTTTTAAATGTCTGTAACTTCACTTCACTGCATAACCCTACTACTAGTATTATAATTATTTCATCATTATTATTAAAATTATTATTGGATGACAGTTGTGTGACTTGTGATAAGAGTTTATGGAAGCATTAAGTTCATCAGTAGATGACAAAAAAGAACAACAAAACCCCCCTTACACTGTGCCATGGGACACTGTGAAGTAACACTAATCATTTCAGTGAACAAACGGACCCTGAGAGAGGCAAAGGAAGGCTGAACGCCGCACTACCTGAGACAGCCCGCGCCCGGCCTCCCAGAAGCCGCTTCTCGCTGCCGCCAGCTCTGTAAAATAAAGGATTGAAGAGCTCAATGCTGTACATGGTCCACAGAGGCTGGCAGGCAGACAATCCCGCCGACACCATGGGACTGGGCCGTACCATTCCGAGGGAGGGGGGTCTGAGGCAGCGTGACACACGGCAGCTACCAACTGAGGCTGTCTAGTGATTCTGACAATCATCTGGTGTGGGGAAATCGCCGTTTGAGGAACTCTGCCTTATTTGACCAAACAGTAACTGATGGGATTTGTAAAATGCAGCTAAAACTTGCAGTTAAAATCCACTAAACTATGGGAACAGAGACATGTGACATTAAGGCATTAAAGTGGACATCTGATAAAGCCACCCCCCTCCCCCTACAGGAAAAAAAAGCCCACCCAAAATCTGGGCCTGAAGACTTGGAGCCCAGTGCTTTAAGCTGTCTTCTGCACATGCAAATAACCTACAACGTGCTTGAGTTATATGGCTGGCCTTTTCGATCTCCATTCTGCTTCAGCTTGTCAAAATCTTGAGCTCTATTCCTACGAGAGTCACTTAGCCCCTACAGGAAGCTCTCTGCTGTGATCGCTGTGACTTACGGAAGGGCTTTCGGAGAGTGTACTCACTTAGGCACTGATGGTAGCGCTCTCTCTCCCTCTGTGGGACAAAGCAGAACTGGTGAGCGATGAATCAGAAGGATGACCGTGCAGGAATAAGGAAGCAGGGGGCGGGGGGGTCACTTATGGAAGGTTTTAAGAGCGAGTTCTGTTAGTCTTTTCTACACAGTGACACTTCCATCACAGCTGAGGCGTACAATTAAAGTAAATTAAGTAAAGCACAGAGATTCACTTCCTTTGACATTCTCTATGAATAACCCAGCTGTAAGAAAGTAAAGTTACCTTGATTAAAGCTGAACACTGACATGTTTTGTTAGCAGAACAGCTACAGTGACTCAGAAAACAGGAAGGCACAGTAACTGTTTTGACACACATTTTTGTTTATAAACTGACATTGGGGGACATCAGACAGACGGAGGCTCACTAAAGGGGGGGGGGGGGCGGCCCTCACCTTTCAGCGGCCGGACGATGAAGGACTGCAACACCCCCTTTACCAGGCGGCAGTAGCCGTCGATCAGGTCGGCCATGTTCTCTGCCGCGCTCAGTGACGAGGTCGTGACAGTGAGGGGCTGTGAATTCGGGAGGGGGGGCGGGGAAAAATATTAAAAACTGAGAGCAGGACGGAGAGTAGGAGGCTGTGCGTGTCCATCACACACAGGCAGGTGCTGTCACACAGACAGTCCTCCGCTGAGGGCCAGCCCCGTACCTCCGCGGCCCCTGACACGTCCAGCTGCAGCACCCCCTTCCTGTCCGTGTCCTCAAGGCCGGGGAACTGGATGGCCTGGACATGGCTGAACTCAGCCAGATGGGTGGGCTGGAGGGACAGACGGAGCGGGAGACGCACGTCATCAGCAGAGGTGACGAGAAAAGCCTAACTGCTGCTTCCATTCATCTCACGGATGAACCCGTCACTGAAACGTTTCTCCGCAAACATACCTGCAGGAGATTGTATTTAGTAATTAGTATACTGCTGTCTCTTTGTTCTTTTAAACCTGTTTTTTTGGAAATGGCACAGAGGCGTAGCTGGTAGCATTGCTCCCTAACATCTCCAGGGTTGGGGGTTTGAGTCCTGCCCCCCCCCCCCCCCCCTTCCTGGCATGCCCCCTTAGTCACCTTATGTCACTGGAGACAGGCTCAACTCCCACTGTGACCCACTACTGGACAATCTGTACAGGCAGCGTAAGTACAATATCGTGAGATTGGAGGTAACACACTTACACTCGAACCCTTGTCAGTAAGGTAGCTGATCCCCTCCTCAGGTCCAATGGCAAGCTCGACGGCGATAACCCAGCTCGACTTTCAGGGAGTGGCCGGGGCAGAGGGGGGGGGACAGACAAGGCCATCATTAACTGAATGTTATGATGTCAGTGTGATGTCAAAGGACGTTAACCAAACATTATGGTGTCAAAGGTGACAGAAATAGTGTAAAATTCATGTCTGTCTAAGAAGACTGTGTGACAGTCTGCATACAGCCTGAGAAAGAGAGAAAAAGAGGAGGGAGGGAGAGAGCGAGGGAATGAGGGCAGGAAGGTGAGGAACTGGGACAGGGGAAGGTCAAAAACGCAAGAGAGCGAGTGAACAAATACACACACACACACACACACACACAAACACACAGGTTTGTGATTATATCCTTGTGGGGACATTCATTTCTATGGGTAAAACTCTAATCCCAACATGATGACCTTAACCCCCACCCAGCCCTAACCTTAACCATAAGTAATCAAACAAAATACGAGACTTTTGGCATTGTTCGTTTTTTGATTGCATTCATAGATCTTTGTGGGGACCTGAAAAATGGTCCCCACAACGTAAAAAAACAGGTTTTTATATATAAACCTAATCCACACACACACACACACACACACCTCCTGACCAGCATTACAGACACAATGCAGAAAAGGTGGTAGACAGGTTAGCATTAGCATTAGGGTTATAAACAGATGATGGTTAATGCCTCACAATGCAGAGATGATGGTGGATAGCAGGTAAATCCTCAACTGCCTTGAGTTAACTGATCCAAAAACTCAAAAACACAAGACAACTGCGTTAGTTCTCCTTGGCCAGCAGGTGTCACTGTAGAGCACAGTCACTGGTGCACACGCTCAATGGCACAGATAGAGCTATGATGATGTGTACACACAAGGCCAGCTGCACATTTTCATGGGTCAAAGTATTCCTTCATCTGTTGGCAAGCACCTACCCCGAGGGCGCATTTGAAATACTCTTTGTCATATCTGTAAACCGGTGAAAGGATCTCGAAAAACTTGAGGATGCTCTGCTCCTCGTTCAGGTTGGCGAACAGCTTGAAGGTCTGCTGGATCAGCTTTCGCAGCGTCTTGGGCTACAGAGAACGGAGGAGACCCACAAGCGATCACAAAAGCTGGATCTGTTCATCTGAAATAAGGTGTAGACGACACACAGTGTACAGGATATGGGCTCAAATCGCAGTGCATTATTCCTGATAGCTGCACGAGTGGCATGTTCTTATTAAACAGCCAAGCGCTGCATGGACTGACAAGGGGATGTGGACCCTGCATTATTAAAGCCACTCCGCCTAATTCATCCCCCATTATGTGTGAATCAATGGGTCACAGATTAATAATAACATGAAAGAAAGGCAATTCTAAGTCTGGAATTTAGTTTTATGCAATACAATTCCTATAATTTCTAGGTTTAAAAAGGGGATAAAAATTAACATCCTAGTGGTTAGTTATGCACACGGACACAGATGCACATGGATGCATTAGGGGACTTTCCACCTCTTCATATTATTTGAAGATTATCCTCACCCCTGCAAAACTCAAAGGCAGGTGGAAACTGCTGATAAAGCACTTTTGGACTCTGACTTCCTTAAACAAGCAGGTGAACCTAGGAAGGGGAGGGGTGATGGTGGTGGGGGGGGGGTCACTCACCTTAATGGATTCCAGTAAAGCTTTGGGGAAGAAGCGTTTCAAGCCGACATCTTTCCTGCAGAAAGCGGACAGATTTACTCCACACGGTGTGACTGGAATGTGATTAAAGCCACCGTCACGACACTGTGACTGTCATCTAGAGTGAGAGCAGGGAGCACAGTCTGGCAACCCAGCGCACGCAGAAACGAAGAAATATTTTAGCAAGTGAGTCACATAGGCCCTCTTCAGAACTCAGTCCAAGGGGCCAACCTCGACTTTCATCCAATCAAGGAGAGGAGCATTTGTACTGTGAATCAGAGGTAAACAAACACATTCCTGCTTTCATCTGAGCCTCAAAGTTCCTAGCCAACCTGCCTCCATGCTCCTATCAACACTGCCATCACTACCCCCCCGTCCCCAGGCCTGCCAACTGGATCCGGTAACTATCATCCAGCCAAGGGATATTCTGGGGTGCCCTTTCCTTTCACCCAGGCCTCTCTCTCCTCACCCTCGAGTCCAGCGCCCCCTGGCTGTGGAACAGGGGTGTTATTTGATCTGGAAATGACCTCACAGAAAACTGGGAAACTGGGAAAAAAATACAGAGCCAATGGGCTTGTTCACTAGAACCAATAGAAGCAAACCGGGAGAAACAGACAGGAAATTAATATTGCTGGAGGAATAAATGAAGTAAAATAAAACTACCTTCAAAAACAAAGAGTGGCCTAATGTTCAAAGGAGTCATTTTCTTTATTTTGGCAGGTTTTGTACGACTGAAAAAAGCTTTGTGAAATGCCATCAGAGCTGAACATTTAAATACAAAGTATTCACTGCAGTAAAAACTATCCTATCAAAGCCTAGCCAGAGATAAATAGTATCCTTAATAATCCTGTTCTTGTTTAAATTGTCAGTAATCAGGATTCCTATAGATTCACTGATCATTTCACCATCTCCATCACAAGATAGTAAATAAAATGAACTACAGTCATTAGCTAAAAACAAATGACAGCAAACATGCAGAAGATCACAGGAGACCATGTTGATAGAGGATAAGCAGCAGTATCTGAATTAAATCTAGATTTAAACAACAGGACGGCGACTTCCATTACTTACTCCAGTAATTCGTAATTTGACTTTTTATCCAGAGCATTTCCACGCATCTCCCTGAAATACCTCCTAGGAGAGAGATATTTACAGTGAGGGAAGACAGGAGGAGCTAGACTGCTGTGTCAGAGAGGAAAACATTGCTTACAGAGCATACAGGACTTACAGAGCATACAGAACAGAGAGCATACAGGACTAACGGGACATACAGGACTTACGGGACATACAGGACTAACGGGACATACAGGACTTACAGAGCATACAGAACAGAGAGCATACAGGACTTACAGAGCATACAGAACAGAGAGCATACAGGACTTACAGGACTAACGGGACATACAGCACTTACAGAGCATACAGAACAGAGAGCATACAGGACATACAGGACATACAGGACATGCAGGACTAACGGGACATACAGGACTAACGGGACATACAGGACATACAGAACACACAGAACTTACAGAGCATACAAAACATTTAGGACTTGCAGAATATACAGAACACACAGGACTAAGAGAGCATTCAGAGCATACAGGACTTACAGGACATACAGAGCATACAGGACTTACAGAGCATACAGAGCATACAGGACTTACAGAGCATACAGAGCATACAGGACTTAAACACGCTTTCTTGCCACTCTTTCCCATTCACTAGTCCCAAGCAATTAGTTATAGTTCATTAGTCCCGAAGTACTAGTTATAGTTTACTAATCTTGGAGTATGAATTATAGCTCATTAATCCTGAGATTAATGAGTTATTTATCTGTAGTACCGAGGTATTAGTTAACATCCTTCACTCACCTGATCTCAAGGCAGCCTAACTTGAGAGCGATATCTTGGTCGACGTGATCTGAAATTTCCAACATGTAGTCACTCTTAACCTAAAAAGCGAATAGCAGTATATTAAGTACTGTAACACTGTAAGGGGGTCAGCAGTAAGGATACCCCCCAGCGAGGGCCACAAGGCTGACACCCCCATCAGCACACGTAGGAGGCCGGCGCCGTCACCGAAGCAGGTCCACCACCGGGGGTGTGACACCAAGCTGGTCTCGCACGCACCTGCTGGTAGAAGTAGTTCAGCGTTGGCCTGTCCTCCATGAATTGAGTCAGGTACCCCTTCGGCAGGTAGCGAATGCGGAGTTCATACCTGGGGGGGGGGGGGGGGGTCACGATGAAATTGATACATGGGCACAGAGCATTTGGAGGACTTACATCTAACAGCTAGGACTTTGCAGAGAATTAGACGAATGGGGGTTTGCATAACTACACAGTACATATGCACACATACATGAGTGTCACAGAGAAAGGCATCCGGGCTCCATTCTCAGAAACACGACAAAATGAAGCACGAGATATACGTGAACGAGCTGTAACCTTGGGGGGGGACAAACAACACAACAACCACACAACAACTCAGCAATAGGCTGCGTAGCTCAGACTGCTGCAGATACACATCATAACGCTAAACTCCGTGTTAAGCTCTGTCCTGTCCTGCATACAGCATAAGGATGCAAAACACCTGGATGCCAGAATAGTAACTGTCCACCAACCGATCCCTCGTGCGCTCTAACCATGTCAGAAAAGTGCTCAGGACCTATGCTGTTTATTTAAAAACATGAGCTCAGCTCCCGATTAGGCAAGACTAGCAATCCGTAGCTGGTGAGGTCAGGGCTTCATGCTAAACGCTGCCAGGAAATCAAAGCATTTCTATGCACTTTTCCTTTTAGTTTCACAATCACCAATGGAAGCCTTACTTCAAACCAGAAGGAAAACTCCCAGAGGCACAATGCAGAATAGCAACATATGGATGCGATTATGAACAGTGAGCGACACAACTTTACATCAAAACTGATTAAATGAATCACTGGCGACATGAGACCTTCAGAGCCTCAGGATGATCATCTCATCATAAAGCCCCCCCACACAAAGGATCTTAACCCTCTCATCATAAAGCCCCCCCTGACAGACAGAACCCTAACCCCTAACCCCCCCCCAGAAAACCCTGCTACTGGGAAGCAGGTAATTAAATAGAGATCTCCACCTTCCACTTAGAAGCAGGGCCAGATCCAGAACACAGGTAGCTTGGGACGTAATTAACAGTCGTTCCCAGAGGCCACCGTCTGTACGGTACAAACACACTCAGCGTGAAACTTTGTTTGAGAGGCAAATAGAAAAAAAATACCCCAATATCTGGAATTGTACCCTTCAAGGCAGCCAGAGACTCCTGCCATTGTGGAAGAATGCATCTCCACGGCAACAGGAACACACTGCTCACTATTCAGAACCAGCGGCGACCGGCTTGCTCATCCGAACCACCAGTGACCAGCTCCCACATCAAACCTGTCAGTGACCAGCTCCGCCATCTAAGCTATCAGAGATCGGCTTGCCTGCCCTTTGGGAACCACATTCTTCTTCAAGCCAGAAATGTCCTTTCCGCCGCTCTCACTAAATTATTCATCCCTGATCCCTAAAGCATTTCTCTGCTGCAATCACATGGCTGCTTTTCCCCATCCCAAAGTTCGGCGCCGCTCGGCCCAGTTCACCTCCAGTGCTCCTGGGCTTGGTTCTGCTCAAACTTCTCCCTCACGTGGGTGACGCCGACGTCAGGATGCAGCCAGTGCATCTCCCCTGACCTCAGGTGAGAGAGACGCAGGCCGAAGCAGGGAGTGCTCCTCACGCTGTGGAGGTCCAGGATCCTCTGGATGATGCCCTACGAGGGGGCAGGCCCAGGACACGTTGTTTGCCATACATACACTAACCCTAACCCTAACCCTAACCCTAATGTTGTGGTCAGTGCATGCGTGCTGCAATGATATTCCTCCAGACCAGCAGAGGGCAGATGACATCTCCTAGGTCTAAATGAACTTACGCAGAAGCAGGATGAGATGCACTTTATGTTCATTTTTTATATTCAAGGTTTCTCAAGTTTTTAAAACAACAAAAACATAACTTTCTTTTATAAAACTAATTAACTGATGTCGGCTCACAAACAATTCGGACAGTAAATGTTTAATATTTACCTCCGCCCGATTACGTTTCTCATTGAAAGTGCTATTCAATTCTTGCGATAAAATATGATTTTGGGTAGAAATCAAGAATAAGACATAGGTGGAATATATGGAGCCCCAATGAGGTCAGGGTGGGAAAACATCTTTTCAAATAGTTTTGTTCACTCGCAATAGTTTTGTGATCCCACTACACTTGCCCACTTGCAATTTACTGTTATGTGAAGGATAAACCTAAATAATGTTTGTTTGCCCACTTCGTGTTCATTAGCCCAGCTGTCTTGTTTAGTTACTGGTGGTGAATTGACACAGTGGCATAATTACTAAATACGTATAAAAACACAAATATGAAAGTTACATGGTGTTCATTGTCCCCCATAGTTTAATGCCTAAAGCAAACTTAACTGGACACGTCTGTATCATTTAGGCTCATACTTATTATTCGATTGATTTTGTTTTGTACTTTAAACGGACACAGTTCAGTTATTATTAGTAATGGAGGGATCACAAAAGTATTGCAAGGGAATGTAAAACTATTTCAAAAATATTTTCTCACCGTGACCTTTTAGGGGCTCAGTAGAAATATATCATTAATCTTGAACAAATATAGATGAAAAGTGGCTTCCAGAGCTACTAATATTTGTTTTGAGCTGAACAAAATGAAAGGACAAAGTTTACATGCATGCTACCTACTGCATGTACCTAATTAATTATCTTGCACATGCAAAGTGGACGGGCAAGGTTTCCACTAGACATGAAAATCTGTGCTAAACCCGCACTGACCGCAGTCGTCCGCAGCCAACCCCTGATGATGATATCTACATCACGTCCCCTTGCAACTGAAAGCGCACGCGGAAAAGTGAAGTATGGACTGGCCTTAATCCTAATGCTAACTCTAACACTAAACCTAACCCTAATGCTGATCCCTGTCCCCCAACACTAACACCTAACGCCCAACAGTGGTTAGGGAAGCGCACTCGTAATTGAAAGATCCCCGACCAGCAAGGAACCGCCCCCAAGCACTGCTCCCCGGCTGCTGAATTAACTGCCCCCTGCTATGTCACAATGTCACATATGGGTTAAATGCAGAGGACACATTTCGTTGTTGTGCACTGTGTGCTGTGGTATGTCAACAATGATCACTGATCTCTAAATTCTAACACTAAGACCTGTCCCCAAAAGCGTAGCCTAACCAGAGTTGGGTAGTTCAGGTCCGGAGAGTAAAAGTCTATACCAAGATTTTATTTCAACCAACCAGTTGAGCACGAAGAGTCGCAGTCACAGAGTACTCAGCTGGTTGGTTGAAACAAAATCCCGGTCTGGACTTTTCCTCTCTGGACCTGAATTACCCAACTCTGACCCTAACTCCTGTAATTCCATTTGCCACTTCACTGTTTTCCTTCCTCTTTCTGTCGTCCCTTATAGTAATACATGCATATCTGGGTGAAGATGCAGACCTTCAGACCTTCTGCTCTTCTCCCTTTAACCTTCACAGTCAGTCACGGCCCCCCATCTCCTCACCCTGACGTCAGTGGCGTCTCCGTGCCGGACGTTGCTGGCCCAGGTGTCTGGCTCACTGCTGCTCTCGAAATGGTGGAAGACCCTGAGCACCCGCTCCGGGGCCCCTGGGGAGCGCTCCAGCCCCCCACCGAGTCGGGTCTTGGCCCCCGGGCCCAGGGTATGGTTTAGGCTGGGGTCCAGGCAAGCTGCCGCCATGCCTTTGGTGGGTGTTAGGGGCCTGTCATGTTCTGCGAGATCTGTGAGAGAGAGAACAGCTTTGATGTGTCTGGGTTATACACTGGGGTTTCCCACTGAGAAAATAAGGTGTGAGCCCCCCCCCCCCCCACCATCCAAGCCTAGATCCTTGACAACAGATAAAATTGCATTTAGAGTCCTCTCATGAACAGACATTTCGTCAGCATTTCACTCGCAGCACTCTGTCGCACATCTCACTCTCAGTGCTCTGACAAATATCACTCTCCGAGCTATGACACATATCACTCGCAGGGCTCTGACACTAATATCACTCTCAGTGCTCAGACACACACATCACCCTTAGGGCTCCGACACCCATGTCATTCTCAGGGCTCCGACACACATATCACTCTCAGGGCTCCGACACACATATCACTCTCAGGGCTCCGACACACATATCACTCTCAGGGCTCTGTCACTAATATGACTCTCAGGGCTCTGTCATCAATATCACTCTCAGGGCTCTGTCACTAATATCACTCTCAGTGCTTTGTCACTAATATCAATCTCAGTATTCTGTCACACTTTTCACTCAGGCAAACAACCATCACAGCATTCAGACTGGTGGTGAGAGGAGCACAGGAAAGTGCCCCCCTGCAGGGATCGGCAGTGCAGTGCAAACACTACAGACTGTAAACAGCAATCAGGAAGGATAAGGCCCTGATCAGGCCGCTGCTGTCAGAAGCGGCTTCACAGTCCCCTGTGGCTCAGTAGATATAGACTGAGGTTAATGGTGTCAAGAACCGGGGACGAGGGGTGAGGGTGACAGAGAGACACTCCAGCAAAGACAGAGACGGGGACGCACAGAGAGAAAGAAAGAGAGACAGATACAGGGAGACACAGACACAGAAAGGGGGAGAGAGAGGGAGACACAGAGGGATAGAAAGAGAGACAGAGACAGAAAGAGACAGATACAGGAAGACCCAGAGAGACAGGGAGAGGGAGACACAAATAGACAGAGTGAGAGAGACAGAAACAGAGAAAGAGATAGACAGGGTGAGAAAGAGAGAGAGACAGATAGAAAAGATAGAAAGAGATACATGGATAGAGACAGACAGAGAAATGGATATATAGACTGACAGAGAGATCCAGACAGAGACAGAGACATGGATGCACAAACAGACAGAGAGACACAGACAGAGACATAGAGACACAGAGACAGACTAAAGTTATTTAAACCAGCACAGTAACCAATCAGGAAACAGCAGTAACCCTCATCTGCATAAACAGCACGGCACCTGAGCAGCTTGCAACAAACGCAGACAAACAGCTTATAGCAGCTACCATCAGAGCTGAAGCACATGACGGGTGGATGGCCCTCCCCCCTCAAACCCAGCCCAGGCCTCAGGAGGCGGTGCCGTGGGGCCTCTTATCTCCCACTGCACCCAGGCGCCATCTCACTCGCCCACCTACCCGCCCGTCTGCCTACCTTTGGACAGCGAGGGCCAGCAGGAACAGAGAGCCCTGGGCCCTCGCTGAGGTTCGCACCCGCAGCCCTTGGAGCGCATGGGCGGCCAGGCAGAGTCCTGAGACACGACTCGCTCTCCGGGCCTCGGGGCCGTCACAGGAAGGGCCGCGGCCGCTGTCCTGGCCTGCGCATCCTGCTCCGGCACGTACACACACACGCAGACACACACGCACACGCGCCTGGCCACGTCACGTCCTGTTACCACAAAGCCCACGCCGCCCTCACATGAATCACAGGTCGTTTCTCCCCCCCCCCCCCGAGTCAGACGGGAAGATATTGGCACAGGCGAAAGGTAAACAAATACAATGAGAGCAGGAATGTTGCCAGTATGAGTGTCTCCAGGGTGGGGCGGAGCTTAGCAGAAATACAGCCAGCATGTGTATCTTGGGGGGCGGAGCTTAGCAGGAACACCAAACAACTAAGGGGCGGGGCTTAGCGTGAACACAGCCAGCACGGGCGTCTCTGGGGCTGAGCCCAGGCACGTGTGGCACCTGCCGAATGACTGCGGGTTAACTGTTTAACCGCCAAGCCCCCTTAATGACTTCACACATAACCACCCATCATCACCACCACTGACTAATCAGAGCTGCATACTAACAGGCTGCTCACATTTAATTACCATATCTAAGTAATCTCTTTATTTATTATACACTAAAACCATTTCCAGAACCTATTTCTTTATCTAACTTCAGCAATTCCAGGACACGAACGCCAGCACTCCTCCGACTTGGCCTTCATAGTTCATAAGCTGACCCACCCAGAGGTGGCGCTGTTCTTAGAGCGACGCTAGTGCACATCTGGAAAGAATCAGCTAAGCAATAAACACCCACCTGCTCCTTAAAAGGAAATTTTAAAAAAGGCCACTGATCTAACCCCCCCCCCTCAAAAAAATATGTTGTGCAACAAAACTCTCCCTGGTTTAAAAATAAAAAAAAAAAAGAATGCAGCAACGGAACGGTGTATACTCTGGGAGGGCCTGAGGCGACACAGCAGGCCCATCTCGGGCTAGGAGCAGGTCTCAGCGTGAAGAGATTCCAGTGAGGGTCAAGGTCACCAGGGCTCAGCAGGGGGCGCCAGTGGGCACACCGAGCACGGGATGGAGAGCTTATGTTACATGCGATCCCGCAGGAGAAACACAGGAACAAAGCAGCATATTCCTCACCTGGAGCAGCAGACCCACACTGGTCCCAGGGCATTACACACGGCCCACAGAAGGGGAACATGGTGGGTGTGACTTACGAACTTTAACATCATGGGTGCAGACTTCATTCCAGCACCCTACACAGGCTGCGTGGAGAACTGACTCACTGATGGACTTCGGCTTTGACCTTGATCACAGTTCACACCTGGCTTTTAGCAAGCAAACACACATTTTCTTTTTCTATAATGCAGCTGATCTTGGTTCTCAGTTTGACTTTTTCAGTTCCAATACCGATACCAATAACTGGCTTTTGGGTACCGGTCAATCCTGAGTACCGATCCGATACCAGTATTGAATTAAAAAGCTGTGTGTCACTGTGGGTAGGAAACTGAGATTATTCTGTTGCGTTTACGGAAACATCGAGCTTAAATACTTAACTTAAATACTGTTTTCCTAACTTTGTAAGATGATGTAACAAATACATACACACACACATATGTACACACTGAATTATTAATTACTACCAATCTTCCAGCTAATGGTTACTCTTACATGAGTCTATTATTTGTATAATTTAGTTAACACTGTGTGTGGGCTCCAGGCCGCTAGCAAACATAAACTGCGGCAGTGACATAAAGCACAAGCTATGCAGTCAAACTGTGCATTTCTGCGTACGCATGTGATGGGCTTTCACTAGATGTTTCGACTGATTGCTTGTGCTTCCGCCCTCACGTGCAAAAAACTTGTTAATTGGGCATTGTCACCATCGACTCTAGTGAAATGCAATTACACTTCTGAACATTTAGTTCTCTCCACCACCATCACTAAAAGCAGAGTCTCCGCTTATGGCCGATACCCGATCCCTCTAATTAGGTATGGATCGGTGCAGATACCGCTCTGAATATCGCATTGGGGCACCTCTACACTGGAGTTTTTAGTTCCTCTCCTCTGTTGTCATCTGACTTTCTCTTTCATTTCTTTGTCTTTCTTTTTCCCTGTTTTTGAATTATTCTGTACAAATTATGCAGGAATGTATTACAACACATACATGTATGTAAAGTGCCCTGGGGCGACTATTGTGAAAGGCACTATATAAAAATTAATTGAATTGAACTGAATTGAGTGAGAGCCAATAAAAAAACGCTCAGGCATCACAGGAAATTCGTTTTGAAGCTTGCTCACTGTAGTGTGTCCCCTGTGCCCATCTGAGGTCACACCCACAAGACGATGTCACCGCCATAATGACAAACAGCTCCCTGTAAAACGGAGACAGGGGCCTCGTCCTGTAATTATTTTTCCATAGCCCGCCAGATCTTCTGATCCGTTTTTTCCACAAATATCTGGGGATGGTCTCAACGTAAATTCTCTGCTGGGAGCATTTCCCAGAAAACCTACTCAGAGCCATAATATGAGGCCAGCAGTGGATGATATTAAGCATGGGGGGGGGGGGGGGTTAAGCTTTAACAGGATAAATCCTGTGGCTGAACTGGTTAGTAACTAGAACAACTAATGACTGGGCTACACTAAGCAGGGCAGCTGTGTCAGAAGAGGACAGGCCATGGGTGTGAATAGGGATAGGATTC